ACATAAATGCCTGTATCATTCATGCCCTGTTTGCACACATCTTTAAATGATTGCAGAGGCCACCACTAATGTCACCTACCTATCTGTAATACTCTAAAGAATGTCCTTAGGGACTCTGCCATCCTCTATTTTCTGAGTTCCATATCATCAATCAGCAAGACCTTAACAAAACGTCACTCTCTTCACGGCACGCCTGAAAGTATCCCTTTCCCTAGCCAACTCTCCGGCCTCATGTGCTTTCAATGCCAATGCATCTTGAATGTCTTGTATCCATCTTCACAGTGGTCGACCCCTGCCTGGCCTTCCACAAACTGCTCCCTCCATCACCCCTTTTCCAAGCCACTATGACGCTTGATGTGGCCAAAATACTTCAACATTCGGGACAGGATGCTGTTTATGAGCCATGGTATTCTAAGAAGTTTTATATAACATTTCAATTCTAAAGCTCCAATCTTTTTCCTCAGTGACTGAGTGAGAATCCAAGACTCACAACCGTAGGTTGCCACAAGAAAAATGCATGATCTCAAGATTTTTACTTTAACCAATTTACCAGAGCTTTGCCATAGGTTCTTCATGTTATTTGATCTCTGTATTGCCAATGCAAGTCTTCTTCTGACTTCTTTTGAGCAGTCGTCACTGTTGTTCACTAAAGAGCCAAAGTTTTCTAAATCTGTTACATTTTATATTTCTTCATTTTCGATTGTGATATGTGATTGGTGTTCTGTATTTACTGAGTACATAATTTTTTACATTCAGAAACAGATTCATTTCTTTGCTGGGTTTTTTGATGGCCAGAATTAATTTTTCTAAACCTTGTACACTGTTGGAAAGGAGAATTGTGTCGTCTGCATATCTGAGTTCTGGGATAGGATTACCTCCAATTTTTAATGGATCAAAGCTCTCAGATGCCTCATCGCTAATTGCGTTTCTCATAACATTTTCAGCATATATGTTAAAGAGGGAGGGTGAAAGAATGCAGCCCTGTTTCCCTCCTTTCTGCACTTCAAACCATTCTGTTGTTTCACCAGCTACTCTGACCGCTGCTTGTTGTTTGTGGTATAGAGATTCTATTAAGTTCACCAAATGATTTGGAAATCCCATGCCTCTCATTATATGCCATAGTTTATGGTGCTGCACACAATCAAATGCCTCTCTGTAGTCTATGAAACAAGTATGAAGATCTAGCTTGTATTCTCTTCACTTCTCTAGGATGATTCTCATATTGAAAATATGGTCTCTTGCCACGTCTAAAGCCCACTTGTGTTTCTTGTAGTTCATATTCCAATCTATTCACCAACCTCCTCAGAATGATATGCAGAAGGATTTTGCTGGCATGATTAATTAGAGCCATAGTATGATAGTTGTTACAAATATTTGGTGGGGGGGGGGGGGGGGGGTATATAATGATCTTTTCCACACTTTGGGCCAGTCAGCACTGTTCCAGATTTTCACACACAGTGCATGATATAGAATTACGCTGGCCTCTCCTCCAGCCTGAATTAACTCTGCTGGTATGTCGTCACATCCCTGAGATTTGCCTGATTTCAGGTTCTTTATTGCTCTGGGTATATGGACTTCCTCTATCTAATAGAAGTTCAGGCTCTTTTTCTTCGATTTCTTTGGAACTATCTGGCATGTTTTTGGAATCTGTGTATATTTCTCCACAATACTTCTTCCATCTTTCAAGTATTTATTTACTCCCTGTCAAGGCATTGCCATTTTTATTGTTTATTACATTCATTGAAGGTTTCAATTTTGTTGTTAATGTTCTGATCTCTTTGAAGATTTCTCTGTCTCTTTCCTTTTGTTGGAGATGCTCTATTTGTTGCGTGTCTTCATTACAAATTGCTTCTTGTCTTCTCTGATCACATTTCTCACTTTCTTCATGTGGTTTGTTTGTACACCGTGTTGCTGGTTTCTGTCCTTGTTTGTTTCAGTTTTCATCTTTCTTCAGTTAACCTCAGCCTTTCTTCTGTGATGTGTTCCTGTTTATTATATACTTTCCTGGCTATCATATTTTGTGCTGTTGCAATGATTATCTCTCTTGCCTGTGAGGCTAGTTCATCAGGTGATATTTCTTTCTACACTGCCATCAATGTCTTACTTTTTTTTTCACTTCTATGCCAAACTCTGGTGGTGTGAGTGTTAGATCAAAACGAATTGGATGCAGCACTTTCAGAACTTTGTTCAGTTTTAACTTGAGATTCGCCACAAGCAATTTGTGGTCTGGATCACCATCAGCGCCAGGTAGTATTTGTGCAGATGTTATGTATGTCTTCCATCTCTGTTACATCATGATGTCATCAATTTGATTTTTGTAGTTTGAAAAATCTGCATACAAATTGATGCATTCTGTTTTAGATTGTGATAGTCATTTGCACTGTGTGTTACTGCGCTGTAAAATTTTTCTGTATGTTTGTGTGCAGGTAAATGGGGCCATGCTTGTGAACCGCCGTATCGTGAGAAGGGTCACTCATTAACACCCAGCCATGAAGCCGCCATCAACTGTTGAAGCCAGAGTAGCAGAAGAGCTGCGTAACTGGTTGTCTTCGGAGTTGGAGCAACTTGATGCTTCAAATACCAAGTAAGTATCTAACTTTTGTCACTCTCTGGCTCTACAAGAAACATCTAAACTATTTCACTTCTGGGCTCTATAAACATCTAAACTATTTCACTTCTGGGATCTATAAACATCTAAACTATTTCACTTCTGGGCTCTATAAACATCTAAACTATTTCACTTCTGGGCTCTATAAACATCTAAACTATTTCACTTCTGGGCTCTATAAACATCTAAACTATTTCACTTCTGGGCTCTATAAACATCTAAACTATTTCACTTCTGAAATCTTTATTAAGCATTAAAATCATCAGCTAATAAATAGTCGGCTGTTGAGCTGGTGGCCCAGGGATTGTCTTAGATCAGGGCTGTTGAGCTGGTGGCCCAGGGATTGTCTTAGATCAGGGCTGTTGAGTTGGTGGCCCAGGGATTGTCTTAGATCAGGGCTGTTGAGCTGGTGGCCCACAGATTGTCTTAGATCAGGGCTGTTGAGCTGGTGGCCCACGGATTGTCTTAGATCAGGGTTGTTGAGCTGGTGGCCAAGGGATTGTCTTAGATCAGGGCTGTTGAGCTGGTGGCCCAGGGATTGTCTTAGATCAGGGCTGTTGAGCTGGTGGCCCAGGGATTGTCTTAGATCAGGGCTGTTGAGCTGGTGGCCCAGGGATTGTCTTAGATCAGGGCTGTTGAGCTGGTGGCCCACGGATTGTCTTAGATCAGGGCTGTTGAGCTGGTGGCCCACGGATTGTCTTAGATCAGGGCTGTTGAGCTGGTGGCCCAGGGATTGTCTTAGATCAGGGCTGTTGAGCTGGTGGCCCAGGGATTGTCTTAGATCAGGGCTGTTGAGCTGGTGGCCCAGGGATTGTCTTAGATCAGGGCTGTTGAGCTGGTGGCCCAGGGATTGTCTTAGATCAGGGCTGTTGAGCTGGTGGCCCACGGATTGTCTTAGATCAGGGCTGTTGAGCTGGTGGCCCAGGGATTGTCTTAGATCAGGGCTGTTGAGCTGGTGGCCCAGGGATTATTCCAAGGTTTTATTGTATTAATGATCACTATATGGGAGGCCTGGCGCCTCTGGCTTGTGGTGATCTCTATTTCTAAAACTGTTGCCCGACCCTGAGTAATCTTTGTTGAATAGCCCTGTCTTAAATGATCAGGATTTAGTTTTCAGCTTCTAATTTTATTATTTTTTCTATATTATGTAACTTTATTTTAATGTTTGTTTCACTCCAGTCACCTTTATATAGTTGTAAAATAAATTTACAACTTTTACCATAACAACGTCTATAATTATAACAACAGTTTATTAATTACCACTCAAGTATCTGACCATATGTTATAATTAAAAAAATTTACCAGACCAGAAATGATACTATAGACACACCAGTAGTTGAATTCATGACCAGAACTGATACTGTAGACACACCAGTAGTTGAAGTCATGACCAGAACTGATACTGTAGACACACCAGTTGTTGAAGTCATGACCAGAACTGATACTATAGACACACCAGTAGTTGAAGTCATGACCAGAACTGATACTATAGACACACCAGTAGTTGAAGTCATGACCAGAACTGATACTATAGACACACCAGTAGTTGAAGTCATGACCAGAACTGATACTATAGACACACCAGTAGTTGAAGTCGTGACCAGAACTGATACTATAGACACACCAGTAGTTGAAGTCGTGACTAGAACTGATACTATAGACACACCAGTAGTTGAAGTCATGACCAGAAATGATACTATAGACACACCAGTTGTTGAAGTCATGACCAGAACTGATACTATAGACACACCAGTAGTTGAAGTCATGACCAGAACTGATACTATAGACACACCAGTTGTTGAAGTCATGACCAGAACTGATACTATAGACACACCAGTAGTTGAAGTCATGACCAGAACTGATACTATAGACACACCAGTAGTTGAAGTCATGACCAGAACTGATACTATAGACACACCAGTAGTTGAAGTCATGACCAGAAATGATACTATAGACACACCAGTTGTTGAAGTCATGACTAGAACTGATACTATAGACACCAGTTGTTGAAGTCATGACCAGAACTGATACTGTAGACACACCAGTTGTTGAAGTCATGACCAGAACTGATACTATAGACACACCAGTAGTTGAAGTCATGACCAGAACTGATACTATAGACACACCAGTTGTTGAAGTCATGACTAGAACTGATACTATAGACACACCAGTAGTTGAAGTCATGACCAGAACTGATACTATAGACACACCAGTTGTTGAAGTCATGACCAGAACTGATACTATAGACACACCAGTAGTTGAAGTCATGACCAGAAATGATACTATAGACACACCAGTTGTTGAAGTCATGACCAGAAATGATACTATAGACACACCAGTAGTTGAAGTCATGACCAGAATTGATACTATAGACACACCAGTAGTTGAAGTCATGATCAGAACTGATACTAAAGACACACCAGTAGTTGAAGTCATGACCAGAACTGATACTATAGACACACCAGTAGTTGAAGTCATGACCAGAACTGATACTATAGACACACCAGTAGTTGAAGTCAGGACCAGAACTGATACTATAGACACACCAGTAGTTGAAGTCATGACCAGAACTGATACTATAGACACACCAGTAGTTGAAGTCATGACCAGAACTGATACTATAGACACACCAGTAGTTGAAGTCATGACCAGAACTGATACTATAGACACACCAGTAGTTGAAGTCATGACCAGAACTGATACTATAGACACACCAGTAGTTGAAGTCATGACCAGAACTGATACTATAGACACACCAGTTGTTGCAGTCATGACCAGAACTGATACTATAGACACACCAGTAGTTGCAGTCATGACCAGAAATGATACTATAGACACACCAGTAGTTGAAGTCATGACCAGAACTGATACTGTAGACACACCAGTAGTTGAAGTCATGACCAGAAATGAATTCTGCTGCAGCAGGTGTTTGGGAAGCTATGCTTGTGTAATGGCTGGCAAACTTGCCTACTGGTCTGGTAGTCATTGGAGACCTCAGTAACAGGACCCGTTGACTTGGGCTCCAAGACCAACGTTGACAAGGCATTGCAGAACCAACTCCAGCATTGTTTTTTGCTGTTTGGTTTTGTTAGACAGTTGTTATATTCACCAGTCTTCCATTGCTTTCTGAGAAAGCTCTTAGTAGCATTGTTGAAATCAATGCAAGGCAGTCTGCTGGCATATTACCTGCAGCTGGAATTGAACGGGTACCTTGGAATAATGAAGAAGTGTTTCCAGCGTCTAAGCCACAGACGACGACCTAAAATAGGTACCAGGAAATATTCTGGGAAGTCAAGGCAGCTGGTGTAGTACTGATCACATGAATCTTCGAGTGGGTAAACAAATATGGGGCTTGGAGAGTTTTTGTTGACTGTGGCAGTGAGCGACAAGAGAGCAGTGTTGAAGACTGTTGATGATGTCAGAGAGACCTGCCTGTTGTTTGATGGCTAGCAGTGAGCGACAAGAGAGCAGTGTTGAAGACTGTTGATGATGTCAGAGAGACCTGCCTGTTGTTTGATGGCTAGCAGTAAGCGACAAGAGAGCAGTGTTGAAGACTGTTGATGATGTCAGAGAGACCTGTCTGTTGTTTGATGGCTAGCAGTGAGCGACAAGAGAGCAGTGTTGAAGACTGTTGATGATGTCAGAGAGACCTGCCTGTTGTTTGATGGCTAGCAGTAAGCGACAAGAGAGCAGTGTTGAAGACTGTTGATGATGTCAGAGAGACCTGTCTGTTGTTTGATGGCTAGCAGTGAACGACAAGAGAGCAGTGTTGAAGACTGTTGATGATGTCAGAGAGACCTGTCTGTTGTTTGATGGCTAGCTTTCATGTGTTTTTTTATTGCAGCCAGTTTGCCCATCACGTGGTGACCATTTTGTTGCACGAGGACTTGGACATTGAAGATGAACCTCTCAGTGCTGGCGATGACTTCCTGCGTGATATCTATAGCATCAGAAGGGGCAAGACCCGAGACAAGCAGAAGAAAGCAGCTGTCCAATTTTTGCGCAGTGCTGTTTGTTGCGTGAGTATTGTTTAAATGTGAAACTTGTTTTCATGAGGAGAATAAACTGAAACTTGTTTTCATGAGGAGAATTAACTGAAACTTGTTTTCATGAGGAGAATTAACTGAAACTTGTTTTCATGAGGAGAATTAACTGAAACTTGGATGTTTAAACAAAAAATTTGCCTTTCTTTTCAAAAGACCTTTTTTACGGAAGTTGTGCATGAGGCATATTATGCTAGATTCCTGGTTTAATAAATCGATCCTCGTTGTTTGATGTGGTCAGCATTACACATCACATTTACTTCCCAACATCAAGTATTGTCTGTAAGCATTTTGCCTTTTTTTTTTAAATTGACGAAAATACTTTATATGGTTAATCTTAGTTCCGTGCATATTCAGGTCACTTGTGAACGGAATCTGCTGATACAGAACCTGAGGCTACAGGGATAGTATCAACACTGCAAGGAGTGGAGTGGATCTCTGAAGCTGAGACCAGCTTGTAGAGACAGAAGCGGCTACTGACATCAAGCTGAGACCAGCTTGTAGAGACAGAAGCAACCACTGACATCAAGCTGGCCAGTGAACAGAAAATATGGCACAGGAGCTTGGCATTCAACTGTGAAAGTGGCAACCAAACTCTGTTCCAGCTGAAAACATGAGGATAAGACACAAGTGCAGTGCACACAGGTCGTCTGTTGAAGGTGAGCATACAAAGAAGCACATAGCTAGCACTGTTGGACAGACTGCGCAGGGTCGACATTTAATACCACCCTTCACCTTACAGGAGATTTGAAGCCAGGTCTTCCGGATGGGAGCTGAACTGCTCAGCCAGCCAGATGCTCCTGCTCACTCCTATGCAGTCATTGAAGGGTCATTTGAGGGATTTCTAGTTGGTCATATTCTTAGAACACTTGTTTCCACAGCGAGGTACACACGCTATCTGGGTTGACAGGTTTGATTCCCAGCCAATAACTAAAGCTTTTGATATTTATATTGTTTAATGTGTTTTTCTGTGTTTCTACTTCCTTCTGTGAGTGCCAATCGATACATTGTCTATCCGCTTATTAAATAAAATAAGTCATTGAAGAAACAGTTTTTCAACTTGTCCTGTTCTGTATGGGGAAAAAGCAAACAGCTGCTTCAGCTGTAGACACCAGCAAGGTAAAACCTCATTCATACTCTGTATGAGGACATGAAATCACCAAGAGCTCACTGACACATGTTTTTCTTTATTGAGGACAGAGATATACATTATTATGTGAATCCAAGTTCAAAACGTTGAGAAACACAATGTCTTCTGCAGAACGATCCAGGAGAGGCCGAAATCCAAGGAGTTGTTGATGAACTGATGGTCAGAATTGAGGAAACCAAGATCAGAATGAACAGCAAGTGCAGCCCCAAGCGAAGTAAGTGTTGACATTAATTGTGGCTTGTGTGGTTGTGTGACCGTGTATTTGTAGTGCTGGCGACCTTAGTTGCCATTTTGAAGATAATGATTATGTGTCCAATTATTTTAACCAAATGGTCATCGTTGGTTTATGTAGATAACACTTACAAGAACTGCTGTGAAGCTACATTGAATGGAGGACCCTTGAGCCACTCAGGTGTAAATAAATAAATCTTTTTGGAGATTTTTGAAGCCAGCATCATGGGACTGACAGATAAGAGAACTCCAGATAGGACACTGGCTCATTTTTTCAGTCAGAAGTGTTACCTGATAAATGATGTTTAGACAAGAGTGGCACAGTGATTGTGGTCATGGGCATGATTGAAAGTTGAGACCATTTTGATGTGTATACTCCACACCTCAGCTCGGGTGCCAGCCGGCTCTGGGCTGGTTGTATGAAACCTCATACAAGACTTCTGCCACAGGTCCCAGTCAGGCGCCGTAGATAATGTCTCATATGAGCATTAACAGAGCTGGCAGGAGATCTTGGAGTTGGTGGTGCCCATAGATGCAGTACTCAGGAAGCCAATGGTTCTCATTAGCCCACCCCCAACGCATGGGTGATAACATATATCAAAACTCATTTGGAACTTGAGCAATGAACCTGTTTCCACTGTTGTTAGACCTGGATACTACCTGTCCTACCTACACAGTTACTCTATATTACCTGTGGTCCTGTGTACACACTCTGTATTTCATGTTCTGCCTAACAGTTATGGTGATATTTATAGATAACTTTACAACCATTCTTGATGTTCCAAGACAGCTTTACAACCATTCTTGATGCTCCAAGACAACTTTACAACCATTCTTGATGCTCCAAGACAGCTTTACAACCATTCTTGATGTTCCTAGACAACTTTACAGCCATTCTTGATGTTCCAAGACAACTTTACAACCATTCTTGATGTTCCAAGACAAAAGATTAAAACACCTTTAGAATACTTGTAAGCCCTATAAGGAAGGGTACTGATTAGTATGTCTGTACTCCAGTATAAGATAGGACAGATCTGTACCCCATTATAAAATAGGACAGATGAAACCACACTGAATGATTACACTGTCTGCCAGGACTGAAGAGAAACACATGAAGATCCCTGGGTAGAGGAGAGTCAACATATGAGTGTAGTTGTGATTTTCTGTTGCTTTGCCAAACAGTAGTCAGTGGTCTCAGACCTCAGAAACATGTGTTTTCTCATCTATACAGTTTCTGCCAGTGGCCACAGCTCATTTCGACAACCTGGTATCAGGAGTGACTCACACGACAGAGAAAGGTAAGCATTCTTTTACTAGTGAGGGTCAAGAGTGTTGTGTGCTCCTGGCTTAAGTCAGTACTGTACCATATATTGACTCAGTCGACTGACATCTCCTGGCTTAAGTCAACACTGTACCATATATTGACTCAGTCGACTGACATCTCCTGGCTTAAGTCAACACTGTACCATATATTGACTCAGTCGACTGACATCTCCTGGCTTAAGTCAACACTGTACCATATATTGACTCAGTCGACTGACATCTCCTGGCTTAAGTCAACACTGTACCAAATATTGACTCATTCGACTGACATCTCCTGGCTTAAGTCAATACTGTACCAAATATTGACTCAGGTCACCAGATATTCCTGTGGACTCCCGAAAACACAGTTCACACAACATTATCCCCAAAGTTACAACCCTTACAAATCCACACAAATCCACATGCAACAAAAGGGCAAAGCTGTTGCACACAGGGGTGTGGGTTTTAGACACTCAAGGACACAGAACTCTTGAAAGGATTCTTGCACCAGTCTGACATAACTCTCTCATGACACTTGCACCAGTCAGACATAATTCTGACATGACACTTGCACCAGTCAGACATAACTCTGACATGACACTTGGCACCAGTCAGACATAGCTCTGACATGACACTTGGCACCAGTCAGATATAACTCTGACATGACACTTGCACCAGTCAGACATAACTCTGAGATGACACTTGTACCAGTCAGACATAACTCTCACATGACACTTGGCACCAGTCAGACATAGCTCTGACATGACACTTGCACCAGTCAGACATAGCTCTGACATGACACTTGTACCAGTCAGACATAACTCTGACATGACACTTGTACCAGTCAGACATAGCTCTGACATGACACTTGCACCAGTCAGACATAGCTCTGACATGACACTTGCACCAGTCAGACATAGCTCTGACATGACACTTGCACCAGTCTGACATAACTCTGACATGACACTTGTACCAGTCAGACATAACTCTGACATGACACTTGGCACCAGTCAGACATAGCTCTGACATGACACTTGCACCAGTCAGACATAACTCTGACATGACACTTGCACCAGTCAGACATAACTCTGACATGACACTTGGCACCAGTCAGACATAGCTTTGACATGACACTTGCACCAGTCAGACATAACTCTGACATGACACTTGTACCAGTCAGACTTCACTCTGACATAACACTTGTACCTGTCAAACTGGCATTGAGCTGTCAAGGAGGCACCTTATAACATTGAAGTTTGAACAATGGATCATCAT